CCTACTGGTGGACATTCATTCATCCATTGAGTACCTGCTATCTTCGAATCACTGACTGTGAGAAATAAGAATGAATAAAACACAGTCTTAGCTCCCAGTGTAGCCTGGTGGGTGATATTTACAACACTATGCAACCTAAGGTTGTAGTGTACAGGTTTAACAAAGTACTGTGGAGGCATGGAGAAGAGAATGATTACATTTGTTTGGGGAAGTCAGGAAGACTACAGGGAAGATAAGGCACTTGAGCTGGACTTCTAGAGAATTCGAAACAGAATTCTTCAGGTCCAATAGATGGGAAAGTCTCAGGACAGAGCCATGGGAACAGTCAGGGTCAATGGTTCACTCATGGGGGTTCAAGACTTGAGGTCCCTACCCATCTCATTTTGTAATGAATGCCAAGCCCTCCCTCTATTGTTTAACTTATTCTATAAATTCATCATAATGAGTCACTGCAACTTTTGTTTGTAGTGATGCCAGCTACTGCTGGTGAGAAAACAGCTCAGCTCTTTACTGCCTGGTTCTCCTGGTTATGGCTGCCCCCAACCCTTCACTCTCCCCTTTTTAAGAACAGCCTCATATATTGTGTCTTTGCGTCATTTATTAAGTTTCTCAGGACCAGACTGGAGGATGTTTGGGTGATGGTTTTGGGATTCCACTGAAACCCTTCCTCACTGCTCTCAGGTGGTGACCAGAAAAAGAGGCTGCTTTTGGTCCTTTCCCATTTTTCCATGTGTTTTCTGGCTTCCTAAGATACCTCTGCCCTTCCTGGGTTTTGGTCAGCATTTATCTTTCCTCCTGCTCAGGAGTCCTAATAGTGTCTGGGTCACTTTCTTCTCCCTCCCCAGCTCCAGAGGTGGATCTGAGTAAGGCCCTTGGCTGTGTGCTTTGTTAGTGTGTTTATATTACCTAAGAGTGTCCGTACTTATACCATAATTGTACACTCTGAATTGTCTGAAAATCCTAAAGACCAAGGCAGGTTAGAATGATTCAAAGTTAGTCACTTCGGTGTAAAACAGAGTGAGTCTAACGGCAAACCAAAGATTCTTTGAAAGCAAAAGCTTTCTTTAGACTGGCATGCTTGATGAAGCAAATAGATTGTTTTTGTGGTGCCAAAAATATATCATTCTCTTTTTATACTCTCCATCCTGCCATGTTGTCAAAGACACAAGGATCCTTTGAGGTGAATTCTAGCAGCATAGTTTTGTGGAGAAAGTCAGTGTGATAAAGCAGCATGAGAAGGAAGGGCATCCAGTCTGTCCTTTGAATTTCTGTTGAAGGGCGAGCTCCAGTCAGCATGTTGCCTGCATGGATAATGAGGGGAGGTGAGTAATGTCCTGGGACATTGCGAAGACATGTGAAAGGCCTTTTGGAATCCTGCTTTTAAGCAGTGTTGTGCAAGTCCCTCAGAAGTTTATTCACTTCTCCTGGAAACAAGTACAAGAGAGGGGTACATCACTCTTATGCAGAGATTACTCAGGGGCTGAAAAATGCTGCACTTGTAAATAGTTTTGCTGAACTGGAGATTGGTTATATATAATGTCTGGATGGTGGCCATGGTTATTAAAAGTAGCTTTCCGAGACCAGGAATCTAGGAATTTAGAAGTTCAAAGCAGAGAGGTGGGAGAACATAGTCTCTTTCTTACCAGGCAAGGGAAGTGTTTTACTAGCTCTGGAACTTTCAGTTAAACTGAACTTCTTTGCACCTGGGCTTACTCATCTATAAAAATGGGGATAATAGTACTACCTCCTTTATAGGGTGGTTCAGAATTAAATAAGTTAATATAGGTAAAAGGCTCGGCATGTTACCTAATTCATATATCCTACACTGATGTAGTGTTTACTTTTTTCCTTTTTATCATTCTTTCTTATTTGAGATTTCCCTGAGGTTCTGTACTCATTTAAAAAAACCCAACTCTTTCTGTAGCTTTAGGATCCATCAGCAGTGGCTTGAGAATTCTTACTGAGAAGAAGAATCTTTGGCTTGTGGTAGTTTTCTTAATTCCCTTCCCTTGCTTAATTCCCCACCCTTGGGGTGGTGTAGAGGAGAGCACAATGCAGAGACAAAAGTCAGTAGGAAACAGAGATGTGTAGTCAACAGGCAGAGACACTAGCTGGAGCTACTTACTGCCTGGCACAGAGTCAGGCCCTTGGGGTTATTTGATGATGGGATCAATGATTATTCCATTTTGCCAATTAGAAAAATGCCATAGCATTAGTATTAGGAGAAGCTGAACAAAGGTGTATGAGAACCCTCTGTAATGTCTTGGCAGGTCTGTAAATCTAAAATTCATTCAAAATAAAAAACTTTTTAAAAATTGGGGGGAAACAGAATTGTTTAATGGTTATAGAGTTTGTCATGCAAGATGAAAATAACAATATGCATATAGTTAATACTGTAAATTACACTGAAAAATTATGAAGAGTAGTTTTGTTGTTCGTTTTACCACAATAAAGAAAAAGAATAAAAAAGGCAAAAAAAGAAAAAGTTAAACGAAATTCCTAGCAACAAAGCTGGCATTTAGCACCATGCTTGGCACATAGTGGATACTTAGTAAATGCTGGATACAAGAAGGAGTGAGTGAGTCAGGTTTGGGCCTGACGCTGACTCTTACTAGATAGGTGACCTTTGGCTAAATTATTTATTTTATGAATCTGCTTTGCTATTTATAAAGTGCAATAATATCTACTGCATAGAGTGTGAGCATTGAGATTAAAGAACCTTACCAGAGGATCCAGTATATAGTAAGTGCTCCAAAATGTAGCTATCATTATTACTATATTAATTACATAATACATATAATTATGTATAAGTGCAAGAGAGATGGTAATGTGTGTTCACTCTTTTTATTTTAATGCAACCTGTTGTGAATTAATTTGTTATTGCATAACTGACTATTCCCCTGTGATGAGAGTATGAGCCCAGCAGATATGCCTGAGATTTGCCTGGCAATTAATTGAGCATGCTGCAAGTGTGCTTTAGTCGTATACTTACTGGAGCAATTTTCAGGGAGCTTGAATTTAAAAAATAAGAGTTCTAGCTTCTTTCAGAATCAATGACATGTTTACAAGATGTTCAAGTATAAGTTTAGATTTAATGAGAGAAGCTTTATTCTGAGGTCTGCAGAAAGAAAACGTGAGCACATTGGTGATCTTCAGTGGGTTAAAATTTGCTATAAAATTGAATTTATGGGAGTTTATTATAATTTCAAAAATTGTCAAAATATATCTTAAAAGTGGAATTTGAATGAAGTCTTCCTCAGAATTTTATAGCATTTAGAACTTTTTGGATACATAGAACATGGCCTGAAAATTACATAATTTATTTAATATGTTACATATTATAGCCTCACTCACTTTATAAATGATGAAATTGAGGCCTAGAGGAGGAAGTGACTTTCCAAAGGTCACTCTGGAAGTTATTGGGTCTCTTTATGCTTTTCTATGCTGTTTTTCTCTGTTGAGCAATTAGGACTTCCTGAGGGGTCAGGAAGCTGGGAGACTGAAGTGGCTACCTCCCCTTACTACTGTGTGTGTGTATGTGTAGGCACATGAGTGCACTCTTATGTACCCACTCACACACTAGGCACCGTGAGAGCTAGCTTCAGGTAAGAGGGTGAAGTGTAAGTAGTTTGTAGTCCCCAGACTGAGCCTGCCCTTTCTGGCAGTACTTCTTATTCTGAATCTTTCTCACCACCTTTTGCTGCATGAAAGCAATCTTCTCAGGCCTCAACTTTCAGGCTTCTCTGCTCTAACAAGTAATAGTTGCTAATCTGATAAATTAGTCTGAGTTAAAAGGTGGGAGTGAACTGACTGGCTGCCCCTCCCTGTTTTTGTATTATCATAAGCATCTCATTGAATAGAATGCTTTCACCCGAGTGGCTGTTTCAGGGGCACTGGGAGAGTAGGAGGGTGTTCTTAATACTCAGTGTCTTTTATGCCCTTAAAATCATGTGGTATAGAGACCCAGCCTTAAGAAATAACACTGACCCTCCTCAGGGCTACTGCTGACCTATATGTTGCCTTTATGAGTCTTAGAAAACAGTGCCTTGTCTGGGTGGGGCAGCTCTGTACCAGGGAGCATGGCCTGGCTAGTAGAAGGCAGGCAGGATTTCAGCCATCACTCCATCTCGGCTGGGCACTCTTGGCAGTGTACAAACTGCCCAGCCATTCATTGTAGTCCTGACCTTGCCTGTTATCTTCCAGCTAAATACAATGATTTTACTGTTTTGCATTGTAAAGAGAACATATAAATTTGCTCAGTGGGGGTGTTTAATAGATGTTTTGGTTGACTGAAAATTCAGAGTTGACCAAATACAGAAAATGACACTTCGTAGGGTGACATCTGTCCTCATACCAACAGTGACCATCCGTGCATTAACTTAAGGATTCTATTTATTAATTCAGTAGATACTTCTTGAGAACTGACTGTGTAGAAGTGGCAGGGCACCAACAAATATTTAGCATTGATTATATAACCAGGCTCCTGGCTGGATAAAGAAGCTACAAAGTTGAGAAAGATGGACATGGTTCTTTCCCTCATCTCTGGCGAGGGAGAAAGACTCCAAACAAATACACCAATCAGTAATAGAATTTTAGATTGTGGTAAGTGCTGTAAGAAAAATAAATAAGGGTGTAGTAGGGTGCAAATAGTTGGGGGATGGGGATGGATCTTGTTGAATAGGGTTGTCAGGGAACATCCCTCTGAAACAAGCACATAATCAGACCCAAAGAGTGGTCAGGAGCTGTGTGCAAAGAGCAATCAAGGCAGCGTGGACAAATGCGGGAAATAGTTTTGTATGTTTGAAGACCTTAGAGTATGGACATGGAGCATAATGTGAGTTAAAGTTAGAGGCAGCAGATAACAACAGTAGCAAACATATATAGTCCATATTTTGTGCTAGGCACTGTGCTGAGTGAGTGCCTTCTTGTATATTAACTCTTTTAATGTTGATAATCCTACGAATATCAATTATTATCCTTTTCTTTTTTCTTTTTTACAGATGAAGAAACTGAGGCACAGAGGGCTAAACAGCTGGTAAATGGTAGGTAGAACAGGAATTTAAACACAGTCTGATTCCAGACTGCTCGTATCCCCTATGATATAGTGCCAGTGGAGGCTGGATCATTCCAGACCTCAGTTTCTTCATCAGTAAAGTAAAACTAATATGTGGATTCAACAAGATAATGTATATAGAGTGACTGGTATATCAGTAGGCATTCATTAAGTGGACCTTATATTTAGTGGTGGTGGTGGTAGTGATAGTGTGGGAGTATGTAGGAGTAAATAAATAAGGAACTAAAACTCTAGGAAGGGAGTATCCTAATTAATGTGATGTAAGGAGGAATGGAGTAAGAGCTCTGAGAAAACTTCTATGAAGGCTCTGAAGTGGGGTCAGTCCCGTCCAACTGGAGAGTGAGGAAAAGCTTGGCAGGGTAAGGAACTGTAGACCTTGAAAGATAGGCAGAACTCACATATGCAGAGGAATAGGAGAGGCATTTCCTACAAGCCATTGGATGAGCAGAGATCTCGAATTTGCTCAGAGGCTGAAAAGTAGGCTGTAGGGGCAACAGCACTGTCCATTCCTAGGAGAGAAGCAGGAACTAGGCATAAGCAGAGTGATGATAGGTTGGAACTAGCATTCAGCAGGGCTTGATGCCATCCTGAAGCTTTGGGTCTTTATGCATCAGGGAAAATGATATCCTGGTGTCTAAAGCTTGGTTTAAAGATCTAATTTGGGACTCCTCCCAAGCCTCAGATTGGCCTTTGGCTGAGTCAGGGAGAGGCATTTTTTTATTTTGGCTTTTATGTGACATGCTGTCTGGCTGTCCACCTGGAGATGCCTACCCACCACCTAGATCCATGCAGAGAAGCGCCACTCTAGTAGGAAACTTTATTACCCCACTCTTCCAGACAGGTTGTTTTACAGGTAGTTACAGACAGCTAGAACAGGCTTTGGAGCTAGGTAGATCTGAACTATTTGGGCTGGAATTTGAGCTCTGATACCAGCTTTTGACCTTGGGCCTTGTGTTTGGGCCTTGTGTCGCTTCCTATGAAGTAGAGATTTTTACCATCTCATTATTGCGTAAGGGTCAGATAAGCATTTAGCACTATCTCCTGAAGCACATAGTAGGTGCTCAGATGATAGTAGTGGAAGTTACTAGATTGCATAGGTGCGGAAGGCTCCAAATACCCACAAGAAGTCCGTTCGAGCCTACTGATTTTATTCTCCCATATATCTGAGATTAGAAAGCCTAAACAGTTGGCAGGATTCATAGGATCCATGTTGAGATGGATTTTAAAGCCATTCCCAGGTGCAGTAGGGCATCATACCATGATGTGTATTTGCTGTCCTACTCTTAGGCTGTCATTGTGGGGCAGAAACAATAACATCCTTTAAAGTGTTTCTGATTGTTAGTGAAATTTCAGCAGTTTTACGTTCATTCCAGTAGATGCCATCTTCCTATTGACTGAAAATATTGACTCTGTTTTTCTGCTACCTAAGAATAAATGGAGGAGGAATTTTAGAACTATCCCCCAATCCCTCAGACTTATTGAGCACCTTTGTAGGAGCCATAGTTCTAAGGTCAACAGATGAAACACAAACACAATAAGACTCCTCCTGATCTTAGTGCAGCACCTATCTATCAGCTGCCTCAGTGATTTTCTGTGGGGTTTTGTGTCCTATAATAAGCACTGGGATAGTCCTGTGCAAAGAACTTTCCAGTAATTTACATGACTTTCAAATGTCTCTCCAGACATTCTTTTTTTTTTTTTTTAACACCTATAGCACCTGATATTCCTAGGTGGTCTCCCATCCAAGTATTAACCAGGCTTGACCCTGCTTAGCTTCTGAGATCAGACGAGATCTGGCGTGTTCAGGATGGCATGGCCATAGACTCTCGAGACATTCTTCTAGGGGAAAAAACCTGTTTATAATTTTATGAGTCTAGAACCAAATTCTATAGTACTTTTTGCATCATTTTGATATACCCCAAATTTTCTAGGAATGCAACTACTATGTAATATATATACCATATATTGTTGATATACTATACTATATAAATAGTAAAATATTACTTCATTTTGTTTGGAACTTTACCAAAAGCTGTTCACCGTTTTTATGAATTGTGTTACCAATTCATAAAAATGTGCTTCTATTAGTCTTGCCAAGAAGAATACACCAGTATCTGTCTGCATTTGTAATTATTACCCTCATGGTTATTCTATTATGTCTTCATTATGTCTTCTAGTGTACTCATGACAGAGCAATTACATGTTGAAATACAGAGTCTTATAAATTTCTTTAAGTTCTCCTTTACAGTTTGGACATTATTTTGATTATTTTGAAATTTTGCATGTAAAGCTTATATTTTTGATTTTCATTTCATGGTAGTAAAGGGAGCAGCACAAAATATATATGTAAAAAAAAGGGAGGAGAATGTTTAGAATCATTGGTCTAGTGCACTGGTTTCATATCAATTAGACCAAAGTGTAGAGAAGTTTACAGAGAGAGTTAAAACTACATTTTAAGTCTTGATATGTATAGTTTTAATTCCAAACTCATTTGAAAGAGTTGTTTATAGCTAATGGTTTTGAAGGTCTAGAAAATGGGTGTGTCTGAATGGATGTAAAGTGGTTACAGTGGTTTAGTCCACAACACCCTGTGCCTGAGAATCTTAGCCTGAGGGACTCTAATTCTTATCACAGTCACCACAGCCAACCAATGGGAGTGTCCCCATGTGATCTGAACCACAGCAGTTTTAGAGAGTGTTAGATGTTTGTTTAAAATGTTTAAATTATCTGTCAGTGTTCAAGAGTGATTTTTGCATTTTCAAGCTTCCACAATTCTAATTAAATGGCATTGCGTAATCACTTGTGGTCTCAGTGTAGTTTATAATCAGCTAGAATAATGAATGGGTGTTGAGACTGGAAGTTAAAGAAACAGAGAACTCTTCCCCTGAAGGTCTTAAATGGGTAGGTGTTAGGACCAGCCAAGTAGTGATCCTGGAAATGTAATAAAATATTTAATAAAGTGCTAATTATGTGTCAGTCGTTGTAGGCTGCAGTTGATGGAGATAGGTGGTAGAAGGGTTTGTGTTGGGGTGGACCTTGAAGAGAGGAGAATAGAATATAACAAAGCTCTAATTGTTTCCTACCCTGGATTTTCATGCTGTTTTTACCCAACCGGTCACACTGGCTTGTATTCTGAATTTATATTCATAGTCGTTAATAGATATCTTTTCTTTAGTACCTAATGTGTGATTTCCTCTGTGCTTGGTTCTTGGCAACAGTTAGATGAGAGGGAATTGTTATTACAGATGCAGAAATTTGATCTCAGAAACTCAAGTGCCCACGGCCACATAAGTGTCAGGGCCATGATTTAAACTAAGGTTTGAGTGATGCCCTAACCACTCCTTAAGGCCTTTTCATGTCTTTGTTCTGTAGATGGTTATTATGATTAGCTTGTTTACTCACCATTTTCTACCCAGTTTATAAGGCAGATCTTATTTGGCCCAAGACATGGAGATTTGTTTTAAGTTTTTGGCATGTAACCTGTGATTGTATTTAAATGAATTATGGTTAGAAAGTTCTTGCCCCCTTAGTAATTGAGCAGCTTAAAGCATTTGACAAGCACGGTTAACCAAAAACCTAAATCATACTAAATGTTTGAAATGGTGAAGAGTAGGGGAGATTTTTATATTGTTACTAGCCTGCTTTAAAAAAATGTGTTTGTAAACTGAGAAGCCTAGGTGGATGGTGTTTATACTACTGATGTTAGACTGGCTTTGGAAATCCATTGTGACTTCTCATAAAATTGGTTGAATAAACTGATGGAATTTCAGCCCTTGTTGTGTAATTAAAAGTAAAGATAGAGTGAATTTCCATGCCCCCAAATATCATCAGGTAAGTTGTAGCTGCCAATGAAACTGTCAGGTCAATGAAAAAATCTTGTTTTTCAACAGGGATGGTCTCTCTGGCTACCTGTTCTCAAGTGACTAACTAGGGAGAACATTTAATAGTGTTTTGTTTTTTTTTTTTCTTTTTTAAATTTATTGTTCTTTGTAAAAACAAGTAAGGAACCTAACAACAGTCTTGGCTGCTTAGGGAATTTTTGTCACTGGAAGGATGACTGAAAGCTCTGTTTCTCAGGATTACCAAATGTCTAAATTTCTATGTGCGGAGAGGATTCAAGGCCACATGCTGTTCCACATTGCCTGTGCAACATTGTGATCTGAAGCGGTTACTTAATCTCTCTTTGCCGCCCTTGCATGCTATAACTAGCAATTTCTGTTCTGAGGCCAGATTTCAAAAATTGTCTCCTTAGAGTTGGGAATGGAAGAAGGGGCACATCTGTAGTCAAGCCCAAATGGGTCTCCTTTCCTATCCTAGCTGGCCCCTCTCCCATCCCTGGGATTTCTGTCCTGGCCTCCCCTTCTAGGCTTCTGAGGTTCTCCTAACCCACTTTGTGAGGGACAAGAAAGACAGGTAGGTGAAGGGAGCAAATGGGATTGGATTTAGCCATAGAACTGTCACTGGGCCTGGTTCTAATTTTGGCTCCATCACTTCTTTGTTCTCTTTGCAAATAGGATTCACTCATTGGTGATTTGAGGCATAGGTTGTGAGGGGTGGTAGCTGTTCTACATCCTGGCTTTCTTTAGCTGACACTTTCTTAGAGGTGATAACTCCCAGCAACTCAAGGTCCAGGTGATAAATAAGAAAGGGAGCAGGAAGTTTAAGAATCAGTTTTCTGGTCTACAGTGTTTACAAAAGATTGAACAGTTCCCTTAAGTAAGTTTACAAAAGATTGAAATTCTTGTAAAATCACAAGAGTTTCCTACAGATTTCATTTTGATCACTTAATTTTTTTATCCTGGATCACAAAGCAGTTTGGTGACAAGAGCCCAGGTTTTGGTTGGGGATGATCTAGATGCAGCTGCACCACTTGCTAGTTGGATACCCTTGGGCAAGTTACTTAAATTTTCTGAACCCCTTGTTTTTTCATCGGTAAAATGGGTACAATAACATGTGCCCTAAGCACTC